TACATGAACGAATTCACACTGGAGAGAAACCCTACATATGTAAACAGTGTGGGAAAGCTTTCAGGGCACGTGGTGCTTGTCAAAAACACGAACAAACTCACACTGGAGAAAAACCCTATGTATGTAAGCAGTGTGGGAAAGCTTTCAGCACTCATGGGTATTGTCAGGTACATGAAAGAAGTCACACTGGAGAGAAACTCTTTGTATGTAAGCAATGTGGGGAAGGTTTCACTAATTACAGTTCATTTTCTCGACATAAAAAGAGTCACAGTATAGAGAAACCCTATGTATGTAAGCAATGTGGCAAAGCTTTCAGGCAACGCTACAATTGTCAAACACATGAAAGAACTCACACTGGAGAAAAACCCTATGTATGCAAGCAGTGTGGGAAAGCTTTCACCACTCACAGTAATTGTCAAGCACATGAAAGAAGTCACACTGGAGAGAAACCCTATGTATGTAAGCAGTGTGGGGAAGCCTTCAGTAATAACAGTTCATTTTATAGGCATAAAAAGAGTCACACTATAGAGAAACCCTATGTATGCAGGCTATGTGGGGAAGCCTTCCTTAATAACAGATTATTTTATAGACATGAACATAACCACATTCGAGAGAAACTCTATGAATGCAAGCAATGTAGGGAAGCCTTCACTAGTAAGAGTTCATTTTATAGACATAAAAAGAGTCACACTGGAGAAAAACCCTATGTATGTAAGCAATGTGGGGAAGCCTTCACTAAATACAATTCATTTTATAAACATAAAAGGAGTCACACTGTGTAGAAACCCTACACTATGTTTATAAGCAATGAGGGAAAGCTTTCATCAGTCATAGCCATTGCCAAAGATTAAAATTTTTTTTTTAAAAAATGGGAGAAAAACCCTCTGTATATAAGCAATGTGGAAAAGTCTTCATTTATTCCAGCAATCATCATAGCATTCAAAAATATCACAGGGGAAATTAACTAATAGTTCCATAGGTGAATGAAATTATTTCTTGGGTCCTAGTAGATTTCATATTTTTGTAGGATTGTTTTGTTTGTTTTGTTTTGTGTGATTGTGGGGTATTAAGGCACTGCAATCTAAATTTTTGTTGTCATTTTCCCAGGACATTCTCCATAAATTCTTGGTTTGTACACTCTGTTTTGCTTTCTTTCCAGCACCAGAATTTTCAAATTGGATATCATTTTATAATTATATATATTTAAAAAGATTTCTCGGTAAGTTTTACACTGAGTTCACCTCTTAAAAAAAAGTATAGCTTAGCAAATATTGTGTTTTCCATATCCTCTCAAGTTATATATTCCAACATAATTATAGATTCCTTCCAGTACACAGTTTTGTTTTTGTTGGTTTATTTCAAGAGCCATTATTATCATGTGTATCCAGTTTCAAGTGTTTCTTTTACCATGTAAACTTTATTTTCATGCTCATCTTGCCATGATTTATTTTGATGATAATTTTTAGATCAGTTATTGTACCAAAAATATACATTGCTGTGGGTCCCCCACTGCTAGAGAACAGCAAGAATGTACCTTTTCTCGAATATGAAATAATTATATTAGTCTCTCCACTTGGTAACTAAGAACATACTCAAAGGAATTTTGATGAGGTTGAAGTTTGTTTGAGAGAATGATTTTTATTCTTTGTAATGAAGCAGAATCCTTTATTCTGTTCCTTGATATTGCAGATACCATTTGGTCTTTGGTAACCATTCTTTTTTTACTTGGGAAATTCAAATAATGCCATGAAGTAGAATCTAATTCATCAAAAATATCAGTGTTTAGTAATGGGGAAATTGATTAATTTTTGTAATTCAGGTTGTATTCTGTTTCACCAACTTTAAGATAAGTCTAGGCAATGCCCTTTTTTGATATCATCAATAAGGATCACTGATGGCTGAGGTGAGTGATATTTGCTTTCAACCATGTAAGACATAAATGCTGTCAGTGTGAGGCCACCCCTGGAATCCTTGATTTATTTTTACCTTTCTTACTCCCTAACACTGAAGGTTTAGTTCACTGTTCTAGATTGTTTTCCCCATGAATACAGAAGCAGCTCAATTTTGCCTGGGGTTACATTTTGAAAAACCCAAGGTAAGGTGAAAAGATAAGTGATAAATGCATTAAAGACTCCTAATTGCCAGGAATTTAGCATAGTGGTTCCACCGCCTTGCCCAAAAGTGCAAGGACCTGAGTTCTATCCCTGGTACCAAAAAAAAAAAAAAAAAAGACTCCTAATGTACTAAACAGCATGCCTTATCCTAACTTAATTAGGCTTAGACATTGAAATTGGCCATCAGGTGGCCAATGCCATCAAAATTAAGTATTTTATAATGAAATAAATGTTTCATGTAATACATGAAATATACTACACTGCAGGATATAGTATCACTTTTTACATCATTAAACATGTGGCTAATTTCACTGCAGCTAATTTCTAATTCTTACCATCATCAGGAATTTGGATAGAGCACACTGCTATTCCAGCCAGAGATGAAATGGTGAAAGTAGAAGATATTTCATCTTGAGCATACTTACTGAACTAACATGTTAGCATAAGAAAGTCTTGTTGGTCCTGGTGGTTCCTTTCTGTAACCTCACATACTTAAGAAGCTGGTGTGGGGTAAGATTGCAAGAGTCAAGCCAGCCTGAGCAACTTAGGCCTTATCTCAAAATAAAACATGAAAAGTCCACTTATCAGAGATCCTTGCAGTGGATACCAATCTGCTTGGTGACCCAAGGGAAGAGAGAATTAAAGAGAAATGGGGAACTGGGATAGTCAGTGCTGAGCAAGCAGCAAAGATCCTGATTAGCCAGAATCAGTGATATTTATTGGTGACACAATCATTCATTAAGTTGGGGTGAGGGGACTATGTGTGGTTGCTAAAGATATGTTGCTGACTCAGGCAAGGCTTGTAAAAGAAGATACAAAACATTCTTGTGTTAGGAACAGAACAGACCAGATATAGGTTGTGGTTAACAATTAACCTTGTCTTTTTAGTTAAGGTTTTAATTCTGGAAACAGAATGTGGGTGTGAGTCACTCTGACCTTGGCTGAGTCACATAGGCTTTGGTTAGACTTCTTGAAAAAAGTCAATTGTGGGGTTAACTCTTTACACCCTGCACTGCTTACAGCCTGCTTTGGGCATAATAAACAGGGTAGTCTCCCACATCCACTGATATGGCTTAGCTTTTTATTACACTTGGGTGAAAGTTTTGTGTTTTAATAGTAATAGCCTATGTTTAGTTTATTCCTTCAGAATTGCTTTATATAATTCACTACTTACATGATTATATAATCATTAGTATCCAGTCATCCATTGACAGACATCTGGGTGAATTCCATATTTTGGGTACTGTGAATAATGCTACAATAAACATGAAAATACAAGTATAGTGATTTTATCTCTTTCAAGTATACATCAAGTAATCATGAAATTATCTGCAGGATTTTTTAAACCAAAAAAAACCCCCAAAAAACCCCTCATGCACTAAATAAGATTTGTCAGAAGGCAGATGTTCTGCTAGAATTGAAAGTAAGTATAAAATTAGAATAGGAATAGAACATTTAGCAATTTGAGTCACTCCCATCATCTGATGTACATTTATTGCTCAGAATTACAGTTTGTAATGGCGTGTTAGGTTTGGGAATGAAGTGAAGAGGTATAGTAACTGATAGAAACAATGATATTAGGAAAGCAAAGTATGTCTGGAAATGATTATCAAGATGTACCATGTTCATGAATTGGAAGATGTAATATGTCTAAAAATGTGAAATTTACCCAAACTGAATTTCAGCTGAAAAACTTTCCAACTGTGTAGGCCAAGTAAACACATCTCCATGATGTCCCAATGGTAAACCTTGACCCCAGTAAAAATATTATGTTGCATGGGAATAGGAGAAATAAAGTTTCTGATGGACCCAAGGTTACTAACCAGATGACACTGAAACAGATTATCCTGAAGTAGCTGGGTTGAACCTAATTAATTTCAAAAGTCCTTTAAAAATGGAAAGGGAAACAAGAGATTCAGAATGAAGCAATATGAGAAAGAATAGACTGACCATGGCCTGTTTTGAAGAGGGAAGGAGGCCATGAGCCAAAAGATATGGGGCAGTGTCTAAAAGCTGTGAATGGCAAAAAAAATCCTCCAATGTTTCCAAAATGATTATGGACCCCTGCTAACAACCTGAATTAACTCAGTGACACCAGTTTTCTACTTGTAACATCCAGAAATGTAAGACAGTTGTCTTAGTTTATTTCTGTTGCTGTAACAAAGTATTGTAAACTGAGTAATTAATAGAGTAAATTTCCATCACATATTTAAGGAAACTAGGAAATCCATTGTCAAAGTAAAAGTAGATTCAGTGTCTGGTGAAGTCTTGATATGTACTTCACATAAGATTGGGTAATGTAGCCAATGAATATTAGCAAAATATTTTATACACATTGAAGACCCCATCAAAAAACGAAACTAGGGTTTCCTGCAGGCAGTGCCAGTGGTGGCAGGGGCTCAAGCTACCAGGTTCACTTCCTATGCCGCCGTGGCTCAGCGCCTGCAGCCTCAAAGTAACAGTTTCAGCTGTTTAGGATTCAATTGCTTTTATGTAGAAAAAATGGACAAGATAAAATTTTCATACTAATTAGCCAACCGTGGTGGTGCACCCCTGTAACTCCAGCACTCAGGAGACTGAAGCAGGAGGATTGCCATGAGTTTGAGGCCAGCCTGAACTACATAGCAAGACCAAAAAAGGATTGCAGAAAAGGATAAGCAGATAAAACAAACTGAAGATTCCCTAGCAAGTGAACATGATCATTTAACTAATAAAGAGGAGGAACTTAAGGATATACAGAATATGAATTTCTTACTCTTTTTTTTTTTTTTTTGTACCGGGGATCGAACTCGGCACTTCCCACTTGCAAGGCAGGCAGCAGAACCACTGAGCTAAATCCCCGGCCCAAGAATATGAATTTCTTATTAAAAGCCAAAGTGTAAATATTACAGGCTCTGGCAAATGAGAAGGATGCTGCAGCACCTGAATTGGAGAAGATACAAAAAAGTATTCATGTTAAGGATGATAAAATAAGATTGCTTGAAGATAAGTTACAATGTGAAATTTCAAACAAAATGGAGGAATTTAAGATTCTAAATGACCAAACTAAAGGATTAAAATTAGAAGTTCAAAGACTGTAGACTCATTTCTGAACACCCTAATAAAGATGTGGAACAAATGGAAAAATGCATTCAAGAAAAAGATGAGAAGTTAAAGACTGTAGAATTACTTGAAACAGGACTTATTCAGGTGGCCAACGAAGAAGAGGAACTGAATGCAATAAGAACAGAAAATTCATCTCTTGATGAAAGAAGTTCAAGACTTGAAGGCTAAGCAAAATGATCAGGTTTCTTTTGCTTCTCTAGTTGAAGAACTTAAGTGATCCATGGAAAGATCAAATCTATAGAACTTTTGGAAGCTGAACTTCTTAAAGTTGCTAATAAGGAGAAAACTGTTCAGGATTTGAAACAGGAAATAGAGGCTATAAAAGAAGAAATAGGAAATGTCCAGCTTGAAAAGGCTCAACAGTTATCTATCACTTCTCGAGTTCCGGAGTTTCAGAACTTACTAAAAGGAAAGGAGGAACAGATGAATACTATGAAGGCTGTTTCAGAAGAGAAGGAGAAAGACCTAGCCAATAGAGGGAAATGGTTACAGGATCTCCAAGAAGAAAATGAATCTTTGAATGCTCATGTTCAAGAAGCATCACATGACTTGCAAGAGGCACATTCTGCATCACAATTTGAAGAACTTGAAATTGTGTTGAAAAAAGGAAAATGAAGATAGTAGAAGCTATGCTAAAAGGGAGAGAGATCTTTCTAGCAAAACAAAGTATTACAGGAAGTGCAAGATGAAAACAAATTATTTAAATCCCAGAGAGGAAATTAAAGAAGAAATCAGACAGTTCCTTCAATTAAATGACAATGACAATACAACATATCGGAATCTATGAGACACAATGAAAGCAGTCTTATGAGGGAAATTCATACCAGTGAATACTCATATTAGGAAAATAGAGAGAGCCCAATTA